CGCTGCTTCCTGGTCTGCAGACCAGGGAGACGCGGAGAAAGCCCCGGAGTACACGGGCAGCAGGACCGCGAGGTCCCACAGTCCGTGTCCTCCGGGGCGAGAAAAGCCCCGTTCGTACCTGCAAGTCGGGGACTGCCTGTATGTTTATACCCAGCGTATAAGACGACTCCCGATTTTTGGGGGATGTTTTTTAGTATAAAAAGTCATCTTATACGCCGGAAAAATACGGTATATACAATCATGTTGTGAGGCCAGTGAGCAGCTTGGCAGTTTTCTGGTATTCCTAATTTATTTAGAAGGACTATACAATATGCCTCTTGAGAAAAAAAATATATATATATATACTTGGTATTCATCTTTGTGGGTTTCCTGTACATTCTACTGAATGCAACTTGTTGATGGGCTGGAGAAGCAAGACTAAAAGGGAACAGAGAAGAGTGGAAACAGGAGCAACTAGAGCATTACTGAGTTACTTAAGTAAGTCATGAATGAAAAAATCAGGTGCCTAAAGCTGACAAAGTCCTCTAAAAGGGATTTACCATATGTAGCTAATGTTTCAGTTATTAATCATAGCCACATAGAAGAAATATTTTCATTAACTCCGAAACAGCGTCTCTGTGTTAGAATAAAAATCATTGCACGTATATTTCTTTTCTTAACAGGAATAGTGCAACTGAATACAAGGGGGGAGGAAAAAATCGCTTGTGTTGAAAGTTTCCCTGGTCTCTGACAGAATTCCAGTTTATTGTTGAAACACAAGGTTCTTGTTCCACTCAAATTATTTCTGTGGGATCTTTTTTAAGGCTTCAGTACTACAAAGCAATTAGTATTTGTTCCCCGGAGCTATTTTGGAGATAAACGAGCAATGAAAAGATGGCTAAACAACTAGTAATATGAGGTGAAATTCCAATTACGGATTAAAAAGACAATAACTAGATGGAAAAGGAGACACGAAAGAAGTGACAAACTTATAGGGCTCGTCTACACTGGCCCCTTTTCCGAAAGGGGCATGTTAATTTTACAGGTCGTAATAGGGAAATCCGCGGGGGATTTAAATATCCCCCGCGGCATTTAAATAAAAATGTCCGCCGCTTTTTTCCGGCTTTTAGAAAAGCCGGAAAAGAGCGTCTACACTGGCCCCGATCTTCAGGGAAAAAAAGCCCTTTTCCGGAGGATCTTATTCCTACTTCAAAGTAGGAATAAGATCCTCCGGAAAAGGGCTTTTTTTCCCTGAAGATCGGGGCCAGTGTAGACGCTCTTTTCCGGCTTTTCTAAAAGCCGGAAAAAAGCGGCGGACATTTTTATTTAAATGCCGCGGGGGATATTTAAATCCCCCGCGGATTTCCCTATTACGACCTGTAAAATTAACATGCCCCTTTCGGAAAAGGGGCCAGTGTAGACGTAGCCACTAACTAATGAAGAATATAGTGGTCATTTGAGTATCTTGCTACCCTTTTAGAAAATACAAAGAGCACTGAGTTGGAAGACAAGCAAACACGTGAATTAAAAATAAAATCTGAAAATTTCATACAAAAATCTGTAGAACACATTGCCCTGGGATAGTTGAGAAACAACTCAGAAAGTCTAATTCCCTTAATGAAATCCATCATGAATAGCTAAAATTAAATTACTGTACCTAGGATCAAGTTTAAAGAGCTATTTCCCCTTATCCTTCAAGGCTTAAATTGATCAACAGCTGGATTCAGAAAGAAACACTTTCCATGTTCCCTTGAAGCAACCAGCATGGTGTACCACTGGGGACTGTAACTGAACTAACATCACCACATATAATAAATAAAATTATATCATGTAGCTCTTCTTTTAAAAGAAGTATTTATTATTTTAGTGTTATCCACAGTCTATCAACATAAAAGGCAACAGTTTTCAGAACATGGTAGCCTTAAAACCAGGACCATAGACAGATTGTGTTAAAGTGTCATTCTGACAACACGCTAAGACGAGGGTGAAGGACCTTTTTGGGGTCGGTGGCCACTGATCCACAGAAAAATCAGTCAGGGGCCACGCACAAGTGATGTGGCCCCCAACTGAGAAGGAGAAAGACACTCCACAATCCCCTCCCACACCAGAGCCTAGGGAGGTTCAGCCTAGTAGATTTTGTGTTCTTCAGTCCCCTGGTGGAGCAGTGGGGGGCAGGGATGTTAAAATATGATCACTTCTCTAATTGAATAGTCAACAGATTTTCTGTCAACTAATTGAACAGTTGACACTGGTAAGAAGTTGTGGTGCTCAGTTTGGCTCACTCCGATTCACAGTAAAACCTCTCCAGTCACGGCCCTGTATTGTAAAGCCCAGAAGCTGGTGCGGGAAGTTGCTAGCTCGGCCCCTGCTCTGTGGATGTCTTTTCATTTATCACACCACACACACACAGCTGCGGTGAAGGCTTCCCTGGGCTTCACAATGCAGAGCTGCAGCTATATGAGATGAATGAGAAGATGTTCATGGAGCAGGGGCTGAGCTAGCAACTTTGTGTGCCAGCTTCCCTGGGCTTTATCATGCAGAGCCGCAGCAGAAGGGGGGATGTTGGGGGGGAAGCAATTAGTCGATAGTGCTAATCCATGAGATCCTGCTTTTTGATTAGTCAACTATTCAACTAAACACTAACATCCCTAGTGTGTGTGTGTGTGTGTGTGGGGGGGGGGAGCACCAGCACGGGCTCCCAGTGCTGAGGAGGACTTGAGACTTGAGGGCAGGATCCAGGCAAGCCAGGGGCCACATCCAGTCCCCAGGCCTGAGGTTCCCCATCCCTGCGCTAAGAGGTCACTTAGTTACTGTATAGATTGTGGACTACTGGTTGAATACAAGAAACATAGATTTGGCTGCATAAGAGAAACACATACAAACAGAGACACATTCATATAAGATACTTAAATTCCTAATACCTGTTTAATTTGAAAAAGAAACATCATGCTTGCTTCAATTAATCTTATACTCAATAAATGGCACAAATAATGGTTTTAGTATCTGTATCTTTCAATTACATAATTCATCAGAGCTACCGAGCATTTCCTTGTTTGACTACCATATTTGCACTCTTTTTTACTTAGATCAGTAACAAATTAAGCATTATCTTGATTTAACACCTCTTTGAAACTGAATTTTAAGAGTCTTTAGAATTTTGTACAAAGGCTGATTTATGTTTCCATAAAAGTGATACTGGCCTTCTATTTCTCCCCGTCTTTGAACAATGCATTTTCTATAAGGATGGCAGAAAGAGCTTCTTGACAAAACCGAATTATTCTTCTAGAAACAAAAGACGACAACACAGCATGCATATTCTATGCTGGTATAATTATTGACTCAAATATTAACAACACTTGTGTCAGATTCGATATTGAATAGCTAACTACAGAATTAAGTGATAAAATTAATATTAACAAACATTGTGGAATGAGACAGCACAATTCAGTCTTGAATTAATTTTTAGAGAGAGATGAAACTTACAAAAGTAAATGAGAAATACTAAAATTATCATCAGAGGTGGTACAAAGGAAACATGAAGAGGGGGAAGGTTCAGATAAAAAGCGATCATTACGGATTCCTTCCTCTCTAATACCACATTATACTCCCCTTACAAACATGTACTTCTCCATCTGAGACTTAACATTTCATAAATTAGTGAATTGTATTGTAATAATTTGTTTATAAAACCTGTTTTCTCCTGTTCTAACAAACAGAATCAACCCCTTTTCCCAAATGTGCATTTGGGGAACTAATTCCTGACCTTCATCCCCAACCAACCATTTATACACCATAGTAGGGTTGCCAGATGGTTTCAACAAAAATACCGGACACACTTGACATTACATCACAATCCACATTACATCTTATTTAGAAAATACTGGACATTTATATTTTCTCATTTATATTTTCTCTATTTGTTTCCCCGAAGAGAAAGCTCAAGTACTGGACTGTCCGGTTCAGAACCAGACACCTGGCAACCCTACACCATAGTGATTTTATTCTGCAAACTGGCTTGGAGACTGCACTTTAAGGTCTTCTGTTAAAAGACTTTCTGCACATTATATAACAATATTAGTTGTAAAATGGGAATAGTTTCCAGGCTGAGCCCACATATAGTAAATGTCAGCCAAATGCTAGTATTTTTCAAAATTCAAAGCAAATGAAAGCATTGGGCTATAATAAGATTTGATATACAATTACCTATCTTAAATGTTTCACTAATTGGTTTCTCAAGGAATTTATCACAGTTGAAAAAAATAAAAATATATCACAGTTGTAAAATAAAAAAAGAAAATCACAAAAGCAAATCAACTATGTTTCTTTATCATTAAAAAAATACTGAACGGATCATTCTGGTTTCACTTAAGTTGATAATATATTTTACTGATTTCAAGGACATCAATGGTCTGAAATACATACAGTTAAAAGAACCTTGACTTCAAAATAAAACTCACTCACTTATCAGCTGAGCTTTGGATAGTTTCTCTTCGCAGCTATGATCCTCAGTGCTGTCCTGCAGCTTTAGCCACTCCTGTGCTTGAAAAAGGTGAAGTCTGGCCTCTTTTACAACAGCTGCTGCTACATTGTTGATTCTGATATACAGAACAGCATGGTCACCTTGATATTTAAAAAATATAATCAAACTACTTGTCTTATGTGGAACACACAAACAAAACTGGAACCAAGTTACAGATCCAAATAAACCAATCTCGATCACTCTCCAGACCAACATGAGGGGGTTCATTTAATTGGACACTGGGTACTTTAAGCTACCAAGGCATAAATACAATCCAGACACTGCCCCTGGTTTGAAATCCCCAGTAATAAGAGATGCAGCTCCTATATCACACTCTCTCTGGAGAAGGAAGACTTCACAGTCCAACTTCACAGTCCCTAGGACCAGGTTAACCCTTTACATTCCTAGTTAAAAATAGGGGTAGCATGTGGCCACGAGATACATCAGGGTTAGCTACTGATAGGCTGTTGGATGCTTTGTTTACCTAAGGGTCTGGAGGCTCAGCTGTTCGCAGCTCCCAGTGGTCATGGTTGACTGTTCACTTCCCCCAGTTCCCATTGGCTCATGCTGCTTCCTGCAGCTTCCATTGGCTGGGAACAGCAAATAGCAACCACTGCAGAACTGCAGAGCTCCATGCTTGCAAACACTCAGGTAAACAAACAGTCTGTTGACCCACCAGCAGCTAACACTGACAAATCAGCAGCCCACAGGCTGAGGGTTCTCCATGCCTGAATTAAAGGGTGTCATCGACCTGTTTGCTCTACTGACAATTGCAGAGGTTGTGGCTGTGCTAAAGAGCGGGAATTGGAGGGAGTAACAACCAGTGATGCTTTTAACATTTCCTGAAATTTTGGAACAGATTTTATGTGGTATTTGAAAATTATTATATTACAGACAGAGAAAGATTGTCAGATTGAATACAGAACCTTTGCAAGCCCAGCCAACTACTCTTCATTGTACCTGGACTGGCAAAGATGCACTTAGACCCATTAGCAATCCTGTGTAAGCATCAAGGTGTTGCATGACATAGTTTTCATTAAGAAAACCTTCATAATATGAATCAGAATTCCCAATCTAGAGAGTCTGGTTCCCAAACCATCACAATCTCACTCCACCAAAAGTTCACTTTATTCCAAGTTCAGTCATTATCATCAACTCAGTTCTGTATCATCTTTACTGTAACTAGTTCTCAAAGTACAAATTATACATATACACAAAACCCTTCACATATATGATACTTTAATGCCCATGCATCACATTCACCACTGTCATGGACATATTTTATGCCCAATAAAGAAGTACCATACCTATTCAACATATAAAGTAGTACAGTATAATATACATGTGTTCATGAATACCACTCTCATGATGATCTCAATTTGCACAAAATCCTAATTCGGGCCTCAGTTATACTTTAAACTAAAAAAAATGAAACCAAAAAATACCTTCCAGATAATTCTCTCTCCCTTTCCTCACAATTTACATCTGCACAAGGTCCAGGAAATGTTCTATTCAGGTTTGAACAAGTAGTGACTGGTTAAAGATGTGATGGGGGGGGGGGAGATTCCAGTCTACCAAATGGAACATAGTATTTGATTGTAATACTGGAAAGGCTTGAGAAACTAAATTTAAAAATCATGATTATTTTGGGCATGTCTACACAGCAGGACAAAAGTCAAATTAAGCTACACAACTTCAGCTGTGTCGAAATTCGGTTTTAGGCGCTGTCTACACAGCAGGAAGCCAAAGGAAGAACACTTCACAACAAATAAGGTAAGTTAAAGGAAATAAGGGTTACAGGAGTTGGAGTAAGAAGTCTTCCAGCTTGCCATTATTTTCAAATAATGGCTTGCTGTATAGACGCACACTTTATTCCGAAATAATGCTGCTGGGTAGACATACCTTTTATGATCTGCTACTACAACATGAGTTCCCAAACTGGGGGACATGAGGTTACCCAGCCTCCCATTCCCCCGTTAGGGGGAGATTAAGTAAGAGCCTGGTCGGTCCATCCGACCGTCTGCTCAGGCGTCCGCCGGAACACGCCCAGCTCAAGCTGGCTGGGGCAGACTTCAAAAGGGCCATCTTAAAAGGGCAATGCCTGCTCTGCTCTTAAAAGGGCTTTTTTTTTTTGCTCAACAAGTTTTGCTGCTATTTTGGGGAGGGGGGGTGAGAGTGTCCTCAAAAAACAAAAAGGGGGCGTGATGCTGAAAAGTTTGGGAACCACTGTGCTACAGAGTAACAGACTCATGAGAACTAAGATGTTGAAATGTAATCTGGAGAAATACAAAACACCACCATTTAAAAAAACTTTAGAAGTTAGTCAGTAACATGGGGTGTGAGTAAATATACGTGGCAAATATATGGCATGGTGAAAGGGACTTGTGTCGCTCAATATTTCATCACTTGGGAACAAGTCAGCTATTCCCAATTTATCCCAATAAATCCATTTATTCTACATAATAATGTGCTCTTCATATATTGTCCGTAAGAGAAATAATTCTGAGAATCGAGAATTCTAGTCAGCCAAAGTCAATGCAAATGGCAAAAATACAAATGTCTTCAAACTTATGTGGGTATTGTTTGGCTTGTAAAGTCACCCACCTCTTTTCCACACCCTTATGTATTATCTCTTACACTACACTCATATCTCATTCAGGCACTAATTCTGCAACTGGCTCCAAGCAAGTGGACTCCCATTGACTGAAGTGTGGCTGTCTACAAGAGCAGTGGTCTGCCATGTACAGCCCATTTCAGAATAGTGGTCTTAAATGATAAGAACTTGGGGACCAAGATAGTGTCTTAAATATCCATAAAGCACTCTGCCTGTGTTTTACTGCATGAGACCTTTAATAAATATGTCCCAATAAAAGACACAAAAACTGGTTTTAGCACATTGTTATTAACTGATAACCTATGCAAGAGTGTTTGCAGAAGCAGCATTTTCTGGGAAACATCCTGACATTGTAAGTGGAGAAAGCTACCAGGGTCCAAGAAACTTTCTGATTGAAGAATGTAGAGTATTAACAGTCATTCAAAGTACTATTTAGTGACTTCCTATATAATCTCAGTTATTTTTTAAAATTGAGTGAGCATAATGCAAAATATGCTCAAAACAGTTTAATTATATGGCAAATCTTTTGTAGCTAAAGCTCATACAACTCTGAGCTCTGCCACTGGCAAGCTGTGGACAAATCACTATCCTTCCTTGTGCTATGCTTTCCTGGTCTGTAAAATGGAGATAGTGATCTCCTGTGCAAAGTCTTTGAGACAGACTGATAACTATATTTAGTTCTTAATATACTTTCATTACTTTACAATCCATTAGGGTATTTGTACACTAGCAGAAGCAAATTAAATAACGTGGGATTGCGGAAAGGCTTCCTCAGGTGGCCAGCCCGTGTCAGCTGACGGCTTGCAGGATTGTTTAATTACGGTGCAAATGTTTGGCCTCAGGCTACAATCCACGTTTTCTAGGAACCTGCGAGGTGGGAGGATCCGAGAGCTCAGGCTATAAGCGACGCCCAAGCATCTATACTGCAATGAAACAGTTCCTCAGCCGGTGCTTGCTGCCTGGGGCCAAGCCGGAGCGGTGTAGACATGCCCTGAGTGGTTTCCCTGCGGTCTCTACAATTGAGGTTGATCATGCAGCGATAATGGGCAGCGTACCACACGGTTACGGGGACGTAACCCCCACTGGTTACGGCTGCCCCCCAAAGGGTGCGGATTCCCCGGGCCGAGGACCCCCCCTGCCCGGCTGCGGGGAGTGGCCCGGGGGCTGCAGGCGGGGCCAGGCGCG